TAGAGTGTCAGCCTGTGGACTGAAAGAACCCAGGTTTGATTCCCAGTCAAGGGCATGTACCTTGGTTGCAGGCACATCCCCAGTAGGGGGTGTGCAAGAGGCAGCTCATCGATGATTCTCATCGATGTTTCTAACTCTTTCTTCCTCTCTCTTCCTCTCTGTAAAAAATCAATAAAGTATATATTTTTTAAAAAGCTCATGGAGCTGAAACCAGTTTGGCTAGTGGTAGAGCATCAGTCTGTGAACTGAAAGATCCCACGTTCGATTCTGGTCAAAGGCATATACCTTGGTTGAGGGCACATCCCCGGTAGGGGGTGTGCAAGAGGCAGCTGGTCAATGTTTCTCTCTCATCAACGTTTCCTCTCTCCCTTCCTCTCTGTAAAAAAATCATTAAAATATATTTTTTAAAAAGCTCATGGAGAATCAGAGGAGCTGCAAAAAGCTGAGGTATGGAGATGTGCATGAAAAGGACTGACAGCTGAGTGCCTGGCTGGCTTTCTCAAGTGGGAGGGAGATGGGAGCTCCCAACTGCACTGAACCCCAGACTCTGGGAACCAAGACTCATACAGGGGGAATCTGGACTGTCAGGAAAAGAGAAAAACACAGAGACTCAGGGAAGCTGCAAAAGGCTGAGGTATGGAGACACACTCGCAGAGAGGACTGACTTCTGAGTGTGCTGCTGACTTTCTCAAGTGGGAGGGAGACGGAAGCTTCCGACCATGTTTAACTCCAGTTCCGGGCAAGAAGCTGGGAATCCAGACTCATTTGGGGAGAAGTTGGAGTGTCTGGGAGCAGGTGAAACTCGAGGGCAGTTTTTTCTGAGGTGCTTGCAGTGATTACAGAGGGACACTGAGACATAGGGGCCTCTTAGGGCAGGGCTGACAGGAAGCCGAGGCTGTCTGCTCCACCCTGAGACTCCACCCCATCCAAGATGAGCACAAAGGTTTTTGCAATTTTGCAAGTATTGTCTCATAAGGGTGTCTCCAGCACAGAAGTTCTCCCATCATAGACACAGCTGATCCTCACAGCCAATTGGCCTGGAGGTCAATTCCTCCCAGTGATACCAACAACAATCAAGACTTAACTACAAGGCTGTGCACACAGCCCACAAAGGGGTGCACCAAGAGTGTCCACCTCAGGTAACTGGGAAGGCTGAGCCACTAGGTCCTATAGGACACCGAGCACACAAAGCCACCCTACCAACACAGGGAAGCAGCAAAAATGTGGAGACAAGGAAACAGATCACAAGTGAAAGAAATGGAGGAAAACAAACTACTGGATATAGAGTTCAAAACCATGGTTATAAGGTTTTTCAAGAATTTCCTAGAAAAGGCCAATAAATTTAACGAGGGTATGAAAACTAGAAATTAAGCATACACTGACTGAAATAAAAAATATTATACGGAGACCTAACAGCATCTAGAGGACTGCAATAATCAAGTCAAATATTTGAAATACAAAGAAGCAAAAAACACTCAACTAGAAAAGAAAAAAGAAAAAAGAATCCAAAACTGTGAAGATAGTGTAAGGAGCCTCTGGCACAACTTCAAGTATACCAACATCAGAATTATGGGGGTCCCAGAAGAAGAGAGAGAGCAAGATACTGAAAACCTATTTAAAGAAATAATGACTGAAAATAGACTTACAAGTCCAGGAGAAACACAGAACCCTAAACAAAAGGAATTCAAAGAGGACCACACCAAGACACATGATAATTAAAATGACAAAGAGAGAATATTAAAAGCAGCAAGAGAAAATAGTTAATTACTTACAACAGAGCACCCATACGATTGTCAGCAGATTTCTCAACAGAAACTATGCAGGCCAGACAGGAGTGGCAAGAAATATTCAAAGTGATTAATAGCAAGAACTTACAATCAAAATTATTCTACCCAGCAAAGTTATCATTCAGAATTGAAGGGCAAATAAAGAGCTTTATGGATAAGAAAAACTAAAGGAGTTCAACACCAAACCAGTATTATATGAAATGCTGAGATGTATTCTTTAAGAAGAGGAAGAAAAAGAAAAAGGTAAAGATAAAAATTATGAACAACAATTACATATCTATCAACAAGTGAATCTAAAAATCAAATGAATTAAAAATCTGATGAACAGAATAAACTGGTGAATATAATAGAATCAGGTTCATAGAAAGGGAGTGAACTGACAATTCTTAGGAGAAAAGAGGTGTGAGGGATGCCGGAAGAGACTGGACAAAAATTGTACGCCTATGGATGAAGACAGCTGGGGGGAGGTAAGGACAGAGGATGGGGTGGGAATCACGTGGAGGGGAGCTATGTAGGAGGGGGAGGAAGGAACAATTGTAATAATCTGAACAATAAAGATTTATTAAATTTAAAAAATTAAAAAAGCACAAGCCATAAAAAATAATTATTGGGCTTCATCTAATTTTTTAAATTTTGCTCTTTAAAAGATATAATTTTTTAAGTGAAAATACAAGCTATAGACAGGAGTGAAAAATCTATGGAATACATATATATTTGACAAAAAACAGGTATCTAAGATATATAAAAGAACCCCTACAACTCAATAAGAATAACCCAATTTAAAAATAGGCAAAATATTTGAACAGGTATTTTACAAAATAAGATACACAAATGATAAACACTTGAAAAGATGCTTAACATCAGTCATCATCAAATAAACACAAATAAAAATAAAAACTAGTAGAAATGTCACTATACACATCCACTACAATGGCTATAATTAGGAAGACTGACAATTCTAAGTGTTTGCGAGATGCAGAACAACTGGAATTCTTATACATTGCTGGTAGAAATGCAAAATGTACAGGAAAAGCCTTAGCTGGTGTGGCTCAGTGACTACAGCATCAGCCTATGGACTGAAGGCTCCTGGTTCAATTCCGGTCATGGCACGTGCCCAGGTTTTGGGCTTGATCCCCATAGGTGGCCATGCAGGAGGCAGCCGATCAATGATTCTCTCTCATCATTGATGTTTCTGTCTCTCCCTTTCCCTTCCTCTCTGAAATCAATTAAAAATATATGTGTTTTTTTAAAAAAAACAAAAAAAACAAAATGTACAATCAAATAGTTTTATAGTTTTACATAGTCTGGTATAAGTTTACCAATGATCCAGCAATTCCACTCCTGGGTACGTATCCAAGAAAAATGAAAATGTATGTCCAAGCAAAGACTTGCTCTCAAATGTTCATGGCATTTGTATTTGAAATAGTCTAAACCTGGGCTACCCAAATATCCATCAACAGGTGTATCAGCCAGGCTTGTGTTACAAGGAATTGATTTACGCCGCTATGAGGGCTGGCTCGGTAAGTCTGACATCCACAGCGCAGGTCTCCAGGCTGGAGCTCTTTCTCGGACTGGAAGCTGCAGTCCACACAACTTCAGGGGAAGCTGTGTTGCCCTTGAGGCCTTTCAATTATTGATTCACCCCCACCCATGTGACTGAGGGTAATTTTTACTTAAAAGCAACTGATGGGAGATGTGAAGCATGACTACTAAACACCTATATTAGTGTTGGCCTGAATAACTGGATATAGCAGCCCCGCCAAGTTGGCAGCTGAGCAGTAGGTGACTGCATATTACAAACTCAATACTAATCAACAAAAACAAACTATTGATACAAGCAGTAATGTGGATAAATAAATCCTAAACACGTTTTGTTCAAAGGCAGACAAGCAGTTCCTATGATTCTATTTATGCATGATATTCCAGAATAGCCTATGCTAATATGTAGTGTCAGAAAGCAGACATTTGCCTGATACCAATTAGGCCTTAAGCGGAGGAGACTGACTGCAAGGGAAACAAGAAAATTGGGGGGCGTGTTAGAAATGATGACTGCGGTGAGGCCTACACAGGTGTGTGCATTTGTTAAAATGCATCTAATCATACACCTTAAATGAGTACATTCTCGTATGTAAGTTATTTTTTTCAATAAAATTGACATTTTAAAAATGGAAAAAGGAAAAGGAAAAGGAAAAGGAAAAGGAAAAGGAAAAGGAAAAGGAAAAGGAAAAGGAAAAGGAAAAGGAAAAGGAAAGGAAAGGAAAGGAAAGCTGGTTCCTGCACAGCAGACGCTCCAACCAAGGTTCCAGAGAGAAATGGATCCAGCTACATCCTGCAGCACCGCCCTCGGGAAAGATTATCCCTTCCCCATAGAACGGCTGGCGCCTCTGCTGAAAATCAGCAAAACTTACATGAGGGTGAGGAGTCCCGAAATGGGAGGGACAGGGATGAGGGTGCCAGGAGAGTTCCCAGTGCTTCTGCTGTTTGTTAAGTGACGGGCCTGACAGCTCAGTCTCGCTGACTCCTCACCAGCTGCCACACCCGCTACTGGCAGTAGGACAAGCCATCCTTCTGGAAGCTGGGCTCTCCTCTCCGTTACCCACACTTGGGGGGAGGGCGGGGGAAGGGGAGGCAAGAAGAAAGCGGTGAGCACCCAGAAGCGCGAGCGCCAGGGCTTCCTCCGGGGGCGAAGCCTCTCCAGGAGGGGCAGCAGGCGCTGCAGACCCCCCCAGTGCCACCCCGCAGCACTCACCTCAACTGGGAGCGGCCTCAAGTGCAAACGCCTGGGCGCCGGGCGGCCTGCTGGATGGGGAACCTCAATGGGGAACCGGCGGGGCCGCAGCACGTGCGTCTTCACCGGCCGTCCAGGTGCTCCGGAGGGAGCCACGGGGCCAAGGACGGCCGGCCGACGGGGCGGGGAGAAGGGCCTCCCTTAGGGCTGATTCGGCACCATCCGTGCCACTCCGCCGGCCTCATAACAGCTGCGGGGGGCAGCGGGCGAGGCGGGATTAGGCCGGCGGCGGAGCCAGAGGGAGCGCGCCGAGGACGGGCCACAGCGAGGCCAGCCGGGCGGGTCAGGGGCCCGAGCGCACGACGCGCACTTCCCCCGCGTGCGGCCCCGTGCGGGCCGCTCCTCCCCGCGCCTCTCCTCCCCGGGCATCTCCTCCCCGGGCCTCCCCGCAGCGCCCAGCCGGTGCCCCCGGCTCCCCCGGCGCCATGGAGCGAAGCCGCACCAGCACCCCGGACAAGGCCGGGGCAGCCGTGCTGTGGGGTGAGTACGCACACGGGATGCTGGCGATGCTGGCGCGTCTGCCGCCGGGCGAGGACTGACTGCCCGGAGGACAGGGCCCCCTACTCCCTGCCTCTCCTCCCTTCCAGGCTGTGAGCTAACCCAGGAGAAGCGGACCTGGACCTTCAGGCCGCAGAAGGAGGGGAAGGACTGTAAGGTGTTGCTCAATACGGTGGGTGCTCCCTCTCCCCTCCCAACCCCAAGGCGGGGAGTCTGACCCCTACAGATGCATCAAGGTCTGCCTCCTATGCCCTCCGGGACTGCGGTCCGCCCTCTCAGATTTGCCTGGGGGAGAAGGTCAAAGGGGAGATGAACCTCGTGGAGATCGTGCCCCCAACAAGCCAGGAGGAGAAGAGGACCAAGCCCATCCCCATCGCCTCGCTGCAGGCCTCCGTCCTGCCCACGGTGAGCCTTGCCTGCCGGCCCGGGGCTCTGCTGCTCCGCTCACTACGCAGTGGGCGTCCTGCCACAGCGTGGCCATGCTAGAGGGCATGTAGCCCAGGACTAAAGCCTGAGCTCATCCCAGCCCCATCCCAGCCCGCCCTTGACTAGCTGCGGGGTTGGTGGTTAAATAGCTTCTCTTCCAAATCACGTATTTTAACTGTTTACTGACGGTGTCCGGACACTGCTGATGACTTGCATATTGATTGTGTATCTAGAAATTCTCGCATTTCTAATGACTTACCTAGTGTTTTCTATACAAAAACATCACTGTGAATGGCAGTGTTTGTGTCCCTTTTTAAAATCCTGCTACACCGGTATCGTATCAAGTATCGTATCAGATAAAGCAATAATGGTAGATGTCCTTGCTTCCTTCTTGATTTCTTTCTAAAGAAATGCTTCTAACGCCTCTTCATTAAGTATGATAGGTTTGGTGGACACGCTTTGTCAGCTTCGGGAAGTACCCATCCCATCTTGCTCTGCGTTTTAAATTAGGTTTTCTTCTTTTAATCAAGAGTAGTTATCAAGCTGAAACCGGTTTGGCTCAATGGATAGAGCGTCGGCTTGGGGACTGAAGGGTCCCAGGTTCGATTCCGGTCAAGGGCATGTACCTTGGTTGCGGGCATATCCCCAGTAGGGGGTGTGCAAGAGGCAGCTGATCGATGACTCTCTTTCATTGATGTATCTAACTCTCTATCTCTCTCCCTTCCTCTCTGTAAAAAAATCAATAAAATATATATTTTTTTAAAAAAGAGTGGTTATCAAACACTTTCCTATTCAAATGACCTTTGGTTCTTTTCTTTAATCTGTTGAGTTGTAAGTTATATTAATAGAATAACATTAAGCAAACTTTGCATTCCTGAGAAAAACACAATTTGATCATATTATAAACTGCTAGATTTGCTTGGTTAATATAGTGAGACTTTTTTTAAAAAATGTACATACTCCTAAGTGAGGTTGGCTTATAAATTCCTTATCTGGGTATCAAGGCCTGCTGGCCTCATGACCTGCTGGCCTCATGAGGGTGGAGTGTGCTTTTCCGTGGGGGGGAACAGTGGATATCAGACTAGGATGATCTGTCCTAGAAAATCTGGGAGACTGACCTTGTAAGACTGCCCTCAAACTCCTTTTTTCCCCTCCCTCTGAGATCGCCCTAGATCTCATTCGTGCCCGTGGTTCTAAAGACCATCTATACAAAATGAATACTCTGAAAATACTCTGGGTTTTTGTGTAAACCAAACTCTGAGTATGTTTAGGAGATATGGAAGAGATATCCCAAACGTAACAAATCTAAATCCCAATTCTTAATTTTTATCTATAATCTCCCTGCCCCAACTGGATCCTCTCCCAGGGCATAGCCCTCAGGCAGGACAGAGCCTCCCTCCTCAACACCCCCAGGCTGAGCCGCCGGCAGTCCTGTTGGCCCCACCTCCCCCAGTCTGACCACATCTCACCTCCCTGCTGCACCTGGTCCAGGGGACCATCGCTTCCCGCTCAGGTCTGTTGCAGGGACTCCTCACTGGTCTACCTGCCTTAGCCCTTGGTCCCCTATAGTCTGATCCAGGGGTTGACAAACTACAAGGTCAAATCCAGCCCACTGCCTGTTTTTGTCAAGTTTTATCGAAACACAGCTATCCTCCTTCGTTTGCATATTATCCATGGCTGTTTTCATGCAGTAACAGCAGGGTTGAGTATTCTCTGCAGACCGTGGGGTTTACAAACTAAAAGATTTACCATCTAGCCCTTTCCGGAAGTTTCCCAGCCTCTGGTCTCTTCTATACACGGCTGCCGGCAAGATTCTCTTAAACAAAGTCAGGCTGTGTTGCTTCTCTGGTCATTGGCTTCCCATTTCATTGAGAATGAGATTAAAGATGGTTTATGCTCTGGCCCTCATCACCCTCTCTGGCCTCCACTTTCACTGCTCTCCCCTCCCTGATCCTGCTGAAGCCACACTGGCTTCACTGACTACACCCTGAAAACTCCCCAGTACCCCTCCTCGGAGTCCTAGCATTTACTGTTCCCAGGCCAGAGCTACGCCTGTCCCCCACTTCCATCTGGTCTTTCTTTGAATGGCATCTCATCGCAGAGGTCTTTCCTGACCTCGGCAGCATCCCTCCCTTTCCCCCCATAGAACCGACGGCTGGCATCAGTCTTCATGTGTGCGTTCTTCCTCCCTAACCATCACCTCCAGGAGAGCCAGGACGTGGCCTGTTTTATCTGCTGCCTTATCCACACTGCCTAACAGTGCCTGGTGGACCATAGGAACTCCATCTGTAGTGAAGGAGTGAGTGAGTAAGCAAATGAACTATGTGGGACTGATTTGTTTTTAAGTTACTGTGATTTATTTAAGTTTATGATCTACTCAGATGTTTCTATTTCTTTTAAAAAAAAATATATATTTTATTTTTTTACAGAGAGAAAGACAGGGATAGAGAGTTAGAAACATTGATGAGAAACATCAATCAGCTGCACACTCTCTACCAAGGTACATGCCCTTGACCAGAATCGAACCTGGGACCCTTGAGTCCACAGGCCCATGCTCTATCCTCTGAGCCAAACCAGCTAGGGCTCTATTTCTTGTTTTTAATATATTTTATTGAGCCAAACTGACTGGACTGCAATAGTGTATTTTAAAAAGCACAAGTTTTTAATTTGGATAGTCCATTCTAACTTTTTTTTTCCCTCTTATGGTTCATCCTTTGGTGTCCTAAGAAATCATTACCTAAGGTCACAAATGTTTTCCTCTAGAAGTGCTATTGTTTTAGCTCTTATATCTAAGTCTTTGATCCATTTCAAGATCTTTTTTTTTTTGTAAGATATGAAATAAGGATAAAGGAACTCCCCCTTCCCCAAATGATATCCAGTGCAGTAGCACCATTTTTTGAAAAGACTATTTTAGCATTTTTGTCAAAAGTCAATTGACTACATATGATTGCATCTATTTCTAATCTCTACTCTGTATCATTGCTTTATATGTTTACCCTGTTTTCAATAATAGCCTGACTCAATTATTGTAGTTTTATAATAAGTCCTTTTTAAAAAAATATATTTTATTGATTTTTTACAGAGATGAAGAGAGAGGGATAGAGAGTTAGAAACACCGATGAGAGAGAAACATCGACCAGCTGCCTCCTGCACACCCCCTACTGGGGATGTGCCCGCAACCAAGGTACATGCCCTTGACCAGAATCGAACCTGGGACCTTTCAGTCCACAGGCAGACGCTCTACCACTGAGCCAAACCGGTTTCAGCTATAATAAGTCTTAAAATAAGGTAAATTGACTGTATTAATATTCCACGTTGTAGCCTGTATTTGTGCTTCATTTCTTTTGTTGTCAAAGACTATTCATTGCACGGATATAGCACCTTACACTCATCCTTCCAAGGAGGAGATGGACACTTGGATTGTCTCAACTTTTTGGCTACTATGAGTGCTGTTACCAACATTCATGTGCAGAGTTATTAATGAGCATATGCCTTCATTTCTCTTGAGCATTTACCTGAAGTGCAATTGCTGGGTCCTCTGTGGTAGTTTTATGTATAACATTTTGAGGAACTACTTGAATGTTTCTCAAAATAGTCACACTGTGTACAATCCTACTGACAATGTATAAGGATTCTAGCATCCTCCCCAGCACTTGATATTGTCTGTAATCGTTTTTTAAAAAAATATGTTGTATTGAATTTTTACAGAGAGGAAGGGAGAGGAGTAGAGAGAAACTATCAATGAGTGGGAAACATAAGTCAGCTGTCTCCAGCAACACTCCCTACTGGGGATGTGTCCCCAACCAAGGTATCAGAACCAAACCTGGGACCCTTCAGTCCGCAGGCCGATGTTCTATCCACTGAGCCAAACCGGTTAGGACTGTTTGTAATCTTGACTAGTCCTCTTAGTGGGTGTGACCTGGTAGCTCCGTGTGGTTTTAATTTGCATTTACCTGATGACTCATGATGCTGGGCATCTCTTCATGTGCTTATTGGTCATTTGTTTATCTTTTTTTGGAGAGCTGTCTATTCAAGTCTTTATTCATCCCATAAGTTTCGTCACGTATGGTTTTTGTTTTTATTCAGTTGAAATTATTGTATAGTTCCCTACGGTATTTAGAAGTGTGTATATTTTAAATTTTCCAAATAATAGGGCTTTTCTAAGACTTTTTCATTGATTTCTAGTTTCACTCCATCATGGTCGGAGAGCATGCTCTATGTGATTTCAGTCTAACCTGCGCTGCGACTTGTTTTATGACCCAGAATGTGTTATCTTGTTGAATATTTCACTTACACTTGGAGGCGTGTTCTCATTTTGTTGGGTGTGTTGCTCTATAAATGTCAATTATATCGAGTTGGTTGGTTGTTTTGTTGGAGTCTTCTCCAGGCTTATTATCTGTCTGGTTGACCTATTAAATACTGAGAGGAGAATGTTGAAGCCTTCAACAGGAATTGTGGTTTGTCTGTTTCTCCTTTCAGTTGCTAGTTTTTACTTCAAGTATTTTGAAGCTCTTATTAGGCACATATGGGTGCTATATTCTCTTGGTTAATTGAGCCCTTCATCATTATGAATGCCCCTCTCTATCTCTAGTAGATATTGCAACATCCATTTAATCTGATTAACATAGTTGCTCTAGCTCTCTTTTCATTCGTGTTTCTGTGGTATTTTTTCTGTTTTGTGTTGTGGTGTTTTTTTTTTTTTAATATGTTTTTATTGATTTTAAAGAGGGGAAAGGAGAGGGAAAGAGAGGGAGAAAAACAACAACACATCAATCAACTCAATCAGCTGTCTCCTGCACACCCGCTACTGGCGGTCAAGCCCACAACCCAGGCATGTGCCCTGACTGGGAATCAAACCAGCAACCTTTTGGTGCACGGCACAACGCTCCATCAACTGAGCCACACTGGCCAGGGCTTTTTTCCTGCTTTATTATTTTGTTATCATTTTACTTTTAACCTCTGTATCTTTATGTATAAAA